CCCCCGCCCCCCTCTGGCCTGTGGCACTTGTCCCAAACCCAAGATCAGAGCCCCATTCCTGGGCTAGCACAGTTATCAATGGACAAATACAGGTGTTCAGTACAGTTTTTATAACTTTAACCTAGGTGCAGTTACACAGATTCATATAACAGATATTTGCTGAGCGGGTTCCATGCCAGGCCCTGCAAAGCCCCGAAGACCCAAATTTGAGTTAAACGGCTGCCCTCAAGATGCTCAAGATCTCGTGAAGAAGAATAAGTTAAAAATCAAAAATAGTACAATATGGTGTGTACTGATGGAGTAGATACACAGAGTAGGGAGCACTATGCACAGGTGGAGGCACAGGTGGACACGCAAGTCCACATGAAGAATGTGTACACGGAAGGACCTCCAGTGCGCATGCGGACAGCCCTTTCCCTCGCAAGCAAGGTGTGAGATGTGGGGAGAGAGTGGAGCCTTTGCTGGAGTTTATATGGATGGAGGTAGGGGGTGGAGATTGTTCACGTGCTTGTGGGGAAGGCAAGAGGGGTCACCATGCAGCCAGACAGAGGCTTGAACAGCAACAATGGCTCCCCAGAGATAAGGAACAATGGGCAGGAAGAGAAGCAGCTCTTGGGGGTGAGGAAATCTTTCCAGATCAGGTTGAATTAGGGATGCTTGGGGAGGCATAAGTAAAAGATGCCATTTAGACTTATGAAGATGATACTGTACAGAGGAGTTTACACACACTTTGTACGACTTTGATGTCTTTCTGACTCCTGGGGGGGAGGGTTGGGGGTGTTTATAGCAACTTTGGGCTGTTAGATGACTTTTCTCTAGGAAAGATGGGTTGGTAGCCAGAGAAGGAGGAAAAATGAGACCCAAGCTTCTGAACCTGCTCAGACATTTTTCGCCTAGAGCAGCGGTTCTCAACCTGTGGGTCGCGACCCCTTGGGGGGTCAAACGACCCTTTCACAGGGGTCGCCTAATACCATCTGAAAACACATATATAATTACATATTGTTTTTGTGATTAATCACTATGCTTTATGTTCAATTTGTAACAATGAAATTGGGGGTCATCACAACATGAGGAACTGTATTAAAGGGTCGCGGCATTAGGAAGGTTGAGAACCACTGGCCTAGAGGATTGTGGGATGGGTAGTCTAGGGGCTAGATACAGGGGTGGGCAAACTTTTTGACTCGAGGGCCACAATGGGTTCTTAAACTGGACCGGAGGGCTGGAACAAAAGCATGGATGGAGTGTTTGTGTGAACTAATATAAATTCAAAGTAAACATCATTACATAAAAGGGTACGGTCTTTTTTTTTTTTTTAGTTTTATTCATTTCAAACGGGCCGGATCCGGCCCGCGGGCCGTAGTTTGCCCACGGCTGAAAGGAAGAGATGCAGTCACTTTCAGGAAGTCTTTATTATAATCTGATTTCCCTAGATCTTTTCTTAGTCCTCCCCAGAAATCAAGACCTCATGTTTGTTACTTTTCCTTTCCCATGAAGTTGTCTCTCTCTCTCTCTCTCTCTCTCTCTCTATATATATATATATATATACACACACACACACACACACACACACACACACATTATATATATATATATTTCTATCCCTCATCCTCTCCTACTCTGTTCTTTAGTGAATTATCATTTCAGCATCTCAGGGCCCAGGACACTCCATCTCCTTTCCTGAGCAGACACCACCCTTAGTTTCTCCCTCCAGCTCCTGGCCCTTTAATACCCTCCCAGGTGACTCACCTTCCTTCCTCATTCCTTCGTTAAGGACTCAACATTCCAAGGCAGGAGGACCAATTGGCCAATCACAGCCCTGACAAGCCTGCCTGTGGCTTAGATTGGCTGGAACTGTGGTCGTGGGAGGCTCAACAAGTAGATCTATAGAGTTTGGGGAGGGGGTTTCTGGGAATCAGCCCTGGGCAAGAATTTGTTGAAGAGTTGCTAATGTTTTTGATGGAATCCTACTAGTAGAGCTGGGGCTAGAGAGGTATCTGGCTTGCAGAATCTCAAAACTGGAGGCTGGCAGAGAACCCAGCCCTCTAGGTCCCCTGGGGACGTTGGCTGCCCCCTGCCCACTTTTTTTTTCTCCCCTATGATTTGGGACCCAATGGTCTGAAGACAGTTCCCAGGCCTGTTCCTAAGAAGTCTTTTTCAGCAGCCCTGGATCTCTCCAGTCTCAACATTCTGCTTTCCCGACATCGGAAACAGCCGGAAAATAAACACCCTGATGACTAAACGGTTTCTCCAGCTAGAGCTTGGGGAAGCACTAAAAATAGAGGCCACAAGTGAGGGGAGGTTCCCCACTTGAAGGGGGGGGGGGGGCACTTTCCCATCCTGCTACAGCCACAGCCCCAGGCTGGCACAAGGCTCTGTTCTCAGAGTCCTTGGGGACAGGGCAGATGGGCTTCCCTTGCCTACCCTTTCCGGGCCGGGAAGACTAACATCTTCTGGCGCTGGGTCCCCATCTCCCAGATATAATGGGGAACTGAGAAACTGCATTTTGGGACAAAGTGGGACACTTTAAATCAAGTTTCCTGAAGGAGGGGCCGGATGGAAGGGAAACTGAGGCCGAGGAAATAGGAGCCTGCTGGCTCCCTGTCTTAGGACATTATTTGATTTCAGAGAGGAAGGGAGAGGAAGAGAGAGATAGAAACATCAATGATGAGAGAGAATCATTGATCAGCTGCCTCCTGCATGCCCCCCACGGGATGGAGCCCACAACATGGGCATATGCTCCATCCTTGATCAGAATCGCACTTGAGACCCTTAAGTCTGCAGGCCGATGCTCTATCCACTGAGCCAAACCAGCTAGGACAAGCCTCCAAACCTTTTTGCAGAGCAATTCTACTGAGCTTGTCTCGTTTGAGACTTGTATGTGATAATGGGTCTAAAGGGGTCTTTGCAGTCCAGCCCTGGAGTTATTATAATGCAGCATGAACTACTGTTCTAACCAATCTACTTGTGTGAACTAATTTAATCGTCACGCCAAATTTATGAGTTAGGTACTATTACCACCATCTCCAATTTTACCCATGAGGATCATGAGGTACAAGGCAGTTAAGGAATGTGCCTCTGTTCACAATTAATAAATGGCGGAATAAGGCTTTGAACCAAGACAGCTTGACTATTTCCAAGTTGATGCTCCCAGTCACTGTGACATGCTGCCTCTCTCTGTACATGCTAGTCTTTTCAGCACTTAACCCAGAATCCGGTTTTTGTCCAGTAAATCGAACCCCGCCAGATAGAAATCAGGGTGTATGAAGAACTGAGTGCCCTTCTGTTCTGCAAGGTTCTTTGAGATCTAAGTCAGATTCCATCATTTCCTCAAGCTCGGGTAAAAAGCAGAACTTAGACGTAGCAGAGATGCTGGAGAGGAAGTCTGACTGGGATGGCACCCACACTCCTGTTGTAGGGCATGTAAAGATTCACCACACCCTGGAGCAACCAGGAATTTTTATTTATTTTATTTTATTTAAAGAGCTACTGCTGCTTCTTTAGTAAGAAACTTTTGGGCGTTTCCTGTCCTGTGGGGAAATTAGGGTCCCGCCCCTTTAAATTGCCCCCTTTGGCTGTAAGTGCTCCGTGGCCACAGTCACTGGGGATTAGGTCACCCAAGAACTATGAGCTGTCGCTTTAAATTGCTGGGCGTCTGCCGAGCAGGCCCCGGCAGGGAAGGGGTCTGTCACAGGTAGAGGGAGCAAACGAGCTCCCTAAGTAACCCCCAGAAATGAATATGTCCCTTTAAGTGAGCTTGGGCACACAGTAAGCGGGGGAGATGGAATCTTTCCTTCACTTAACGTCTACCCTCAATTTATCTATTTAGACTCCCACCTCCCAACTCTCCTGGGGCTTGGGGGGGAGCTGTCGAGTAGCGTGTGTGTCTATGAGTGTGCGCACAGCGCACAGAGCCTCCCGGAAAAGAACCTCCTGAAGCGCATGGTAGCAGCAGCGCTAGGCGGCGGTCCCGCGAGCTCCGAGGGGCCACCTCGACCGCGGGCCCATCCCTTTAAAGGCCTCTGGGTCTCGCCTCCCGACTTCGCCTCGCTCTGTCCCTCCCTCCCTCCCGGCCGGCGGAGGGATCTGCCGCTCTTGGTGCTACAGCCTAGCTTGGTCAAGCGGCGGGGCGGGGGCTGACCCGGCCCGGCCCCGCGGGCCAAGGGAAGCGAGGGGGCGTGGCCGCGTCCTCGGTCCCGCCCCCGCTTGGGCCCCGCCCCTAGACACCACAAGTCCCTCCCATTGGCCCCCCGCCTGTCCATCACCACTGTTTCCCCACCCCTCAAGCTAGGCTGAGCAGTGCCTACGTCGGCCTTGACTCCCAGGGGCTGGAGGAGTTACCTTTGGAGCCCGAAAGGAGGAAGGAAGCAAAATATCAACACAGCGGAGGCGAGTCGGGTAT